TTTTTTTATTACTGTTTTTTAAAATATTTAAACCACAGAGCTTTGCATCAGCTTGTGGTAAAGGCTCAGACTCCCTTCTTCCTATTGATTCTTACATTTTCATCTTAGTGAAGAGCTGCCAGGAGCATGTGTGCATGTTTTCATGAGTCTTTGATAACTGCAGTAAACAAATGTATCTGAGATGAAATGTAACTTCATAAGAAGGCAACCTGATAGTTCTGTTAGCATYTCTTATCCAAGAATTATTTTCGAAAATGGAGTAATCTTTTATACAATATTGAGTTCATAGTTAGATGGGAATGTATGCTGGACAGTTGAAGATTATGCTTTACATCCTTGTAATAGTGTCTTTCTCTTTGAGTCAAGATCTTGGTTTAGAAACAAATTTTTAAATGCCTGGCACCCTGATAGTGTACAGGCATTTACAGTGATCCTTATTTCTCAGGCTATATAGTGAAGAATACTCGGGTACAAAGTTYAAATTTTACAGTGGAGAGACTGTAATGCCTCCTGGCATTGCATACATGTAGGCAAAAATTGTCCCGTGTGTGGCTCAAGTTAGCCAGGACCAGATGTAGAGTCTAGACTGGCTCTGATTCAGTGGCATTATTGCTATTTATTAATAAGTACATTTTTTTATAGAATGCTTATACATGAAAGCCTCTGGGCAAAATACAATCAAATACAAAATTTCTTTTCTATAAAAAGCACAACATACCCCCATGAAATTAGAAACTGGCAAGAGAGCAAAAAATACCTTCTAAACACCTCACAAAGCACAAAAGATAGGGCAACCACCCACAATTCATTAGATTTCTACACAAGCCAAACCCTTCCAGCCATACTGAAATAAGAGGGAGATTTTTCATGACATCAGTCTGGAGCACAGGAAGTTCCGTCTCCAGGTGAGGAGGAACTTCTTTACTGTTAGGGTGACAGAGCMSTGGMACAGGCTGCCCAGGGRGGTTGTGGAGTCTCCTTCTCTGGAGGTCTTCAAAACCCGCCTGGATGCCAYCCTGTGCCACATGCTGTAGGTGTGCCTGCTTGAGCAGGAAGGTTGGACTAGATGATCTCTAGAGGTCCCTTCCAACCTTAAATATTCTGTGATTCTGTGAAAGTTCAAGCTTCAAGTGAATTGCAGCATRGATCTCTATGACAAAAAATATGGAGAGCAGAGTTGTACTCAAGCACTCTGCATAGAAAGTTGCATTTGAAGCCAGCAGTAACTAGATTAATAATATAGCTACTTCTTAGAATGTAAACTTCCTTTAAGTGGCAGAAGATGATCAGATGTCTGTGCTGACACTTAGACCTAAACTGAAGATGGAGATTTGTATTTGAAAAGTCTTGTGGCATTAAGGAATTCTGTGCCACCTCCTTATGGCTTTCCTTGACCCTTTTTCTCTTGTGCATGCTATAGCAGACTCTATCTCAGCTAATCCTCTTTAATTCTTAGGTAGATTTTTCAAATTTATAAACCTGAAAAAGAATGCTGTTTCCATTTACATAAAAAGCGCTTGGCATGCTAGAGGTGTATCTACTTTGCCTGGTTGAGTTGAAATGGAGTTAAATTGTTCAAAAAAAACCCATGCTCATGTTAGAATGTCAGCAATTTTTCTGTAGGCTTGTAATGCCTCAGGCATGTAAATGCTGATTCTCCCTCAGCTTTTTTGGGTAGGGATATGGTCTATATAATCATGTTATCAAAAAACAAAAACGCCCTCTCTTCCCACCTTTCCCYCTCTCCCCCCAACTAGCTTTCACTTCCCACAGTCATAAACTGCATATCTTTTACTATTTTAATAAAGAATATTTTCACCAAATTGCAAACTGGAGCAGATCAAAGGTTAATAAATCTGTGCTACAGAAAGAAAAGGAACAGGTATCACAAAGCCTGCATTTGTTCGATGGAGGAAGAGAGAATAAAGATTCCAAAAGAATTGGAGAATAAAAGCACTATCATTAAGAAGGTGGCCTTTGGTGTGGTCACCTCTGCTGAGATTCAGTCTAACAGAAGGTAGTTGTTGTCTCTACTTGTTCTGTAATGCCCCACCCTACTCATTTGTGTGGAAGAATGGATCAAAGCTTGAAGATAGGCAAAGTTTATAAAAACAGAAAACTCATTTTCTCATCTGTTCTCTGATGCCTGAGGCAGAGGTATTGATTGTAAGGCAACCGAAACAAGCTAAGCTATTCTTGCTTTCTATATGTTTGAACACTTGTAATTGTGCAATAGGCAGTGAAACAACCCAGGATGACGCATAGAGTACAGTACAAATGAGAGACAAAAGGAGCTCAATTGTTTAAATAAGGCAAGGTTGTGAGATTGAGGTTCAGATGGAATTTCATCCTGTAGATGCTTCACAGAAAGGGAAAAAAAAAATCATTAACTTACTGAGTAGCTTTGTCTAAACTGCCAGTTCACATGGCAACTAGATACAGCATAAATAAATATTTTCTTTCCCTCAAGTGAGGAGTCGGTAAGCTTTGCCCAGGGCCCATTAACTTGCTTGTTACAAAACTGGCTTGTGCTGGAGGAGCATGTCAAGAAGAAAATGCAAATGGTCATTTGCAATAGAGTTTATTACTCTTGACCCTGCTTGAGCCAGTGACAGTCATCTTGTGATGACAGCTATCTTGTGATGACTGTGCCTCTCTGGCAAGACTCCGAGGGCCCAAAGAAGGACTTTAGTGAGGCATGAACCCTAACTGAAAAGTTTCTCTGTAGAGTCTAATTCTGTTACCTATGAGAAGGTGTAATTCAAGATTGTCCACAGCTATAAGCACTTAAAAATTATAGGGGTTGTCCCTTATGTATGCGTTGCCTAGTTCTAATGGATTTTTATAGCTTTACTCTGTTCACCAGTACATCATCTCAACTGTAGCAGCACGTTATCTTCTCCTGCTCATCTCTTGTCCGCAGGACTGGTTCATGGGTAGCCAGTCAGGCATGTCTGACAGTCCGCTAACCTCTTTTATATGTCTGGGCATGCTCAGCTCTACTCATTTCAGCTGTGTCAGCACCTCTGCATACAGGTTTGCTGCCTGTACGGTCATGAAGCTGTTTTTGAAGATGGCTTTGAGGTTGCCCTCTGTGGGGTGCATAGTATATACAGGATGGACAGATCGGTCCAGAGATGAAAGTGCTTTTCCTGGGATGTCTTGTTCTATTTGAGGGAGTGGAATAAGTTCTGTTGGCATGAGACACCTTCATGCTGGTATAACTGTGTCCTTGTTAGGACTGATCCTTTAATCCTGACCAGTGCAGTTTTACCACCATCGTTTTTCCAGTACAGAGCAACTGTAAAACTACTTTGCATTGCTATGACAGTGTAGAGGAACATAAATGAGGAAATAAATGGTATTTAAATCCATTTGAAGGTTTCTATTAAATTCTAATGCAGTGGAGAGCAGTCAGAAACCAAGGAGAAACTAAGATCCCAACTTCTACAAGAAAGGTTCATTTGTAAACCTCGCCAGCCACTCGCTTGGATTCACCTGGCCTTGTGCTTCTTCACTCAGATAAATTGTGCACATCTTCCAATGTGCTGACTTTGGGATAAGGGGAAAAACAGTCAAATCAAATACTTTTTTTTTTTTTTTTTTAAAGAGTAATTAAATCATCTGAATTTGAAGGTGGTGACAACTCGGCTTCAGGCTTGTCTTGTTCATCCCATGCTCTGGGAAATATTCCAGTCTGATTTTGCACTTTGCTCATAGCACAAAGCTTATATTGGTTTCATAGCCCTATAATAAATTATGAATTCTGTCATCAACTCTAATGGTATAATGTAATTTCAGCAATTACACAACGTGCAATGTTCTTGTCTTCTAAGGTCCACAGTTGACTGGGCAGCTCCTACTTGAGAAGGTGAGAGCTCCATGCAGCATGGAAACTTTTCCTTTGGATGAGAGTGGATTTGCTGTTAGTGAGAAATCACCCTATGCCTCAAGGGCCTCTGCTCTGCTCTTTGTTTTCTCTAGCAACATGAGATTTGCCACGTCAACTCAGATCATTAAGATCTCAAACCTGGTATCCTGCCTCTAGCTAAATTTAAGGCAGTGTGTTTCATAGACAAATGAAGTCTCGTAAGTAGAGTTCAATCTTCTACTTAGGCTGTAGTTAACTTGGTCAGTGCTGCTGTTCTCTCCTTTCTTGTCCCTGAATGTTCAGGGAATACTGGTTCAATTGTTGTGGGATAAAAAGAGAAGAATACATATCATAACTACTGATGGCTGACTGCATGAGGCTTCCCAGGCTTCTTTTGGATTTACTTTACACTCTAGTAGAAGAAAAATAAATTCTTCTCCCTTCAGGTACCATCTATTCAGTGATTACTCCCTTTCCTAAATCTATGAATAACACATATCTTTACATCCACTCTTGTTATCATCATCCTAACAGACTTGTGTGTAAGTTAAGTATTTAATTTTAATGTTATTTTTCTGACTTAGGTTGACTGACTGAATGAATCTTATTGTGCTGTTTAATGCAAGGTCTGATCAGTGCTTGATGCTTTAACTAGGGATTGTTAAGAGCATGAGGCACTACTCTCAGTTCTAATTTTGTCACCTTGTGGCACTGTGAAACATATAGTTGGCTATGGAGAAATGATTCCTGCACAGATGTATGTAGGTGAACATTAAATCTATGTGGCACAACTTGGGAGGTAGAGAGAAGAAAAAGGATCACAACCTTTATGCTCTAGTTGTGCTCAGCTGCTGAAGATGTAACTTTATCAGTTAAGTGACTTCATTTTGTGGTAGGAGTTGAGCTAGTTCCTGGCCAGCTGAAAGTTATCCTTGTGTTGTGTCTTCTTAAAGTGGTCTCTGCATTTGTTTGTTGTCATTTAATGAAATCTCTTTGGTCTTGTGGAGGCCACATAGCCAAGTCTGTATTACTGTTTATTAGGACAACAAACACATAATACTGATAACTGATGGATAAAAGCTCCAAGCTATAGTGAACTACATGCTTGAAAATATTATTTTTATTTCAGCCTCCAGAAATTCTACCCAAGAACATGGTCACCACGGATAAGGTCACCAGGTCWACGTCTGTCAATGTAAGAACAAGGTTCTTTGTCCCCATAAAGATTCATGAGTGCAACAGCAACGTCCTTAATCCAACCAACTGAAGGAGCAGCTCTTACTCAGATGGAGTTGATCATATGCTTTTGTTGTCTCAGTGTGCATCCACTTTGTCTCCTCCTGCTCTGATGTATATGTGACATGTACTAGAAAAGTACCTAGAAGCAAAAAATAGGGCTCAGGAATATATTGTATGGGTGCGAAATAAATAAACAAAGAGGTATCTTYTGCCTAAAAAGCTTAAGATATCTTTCTGCTACAGATAGATTTCTAGAATTCTGGTTTGTCACCTTCCACTTTTATAATTTCTCTAGGACACATTCTAGAAAGATGTTTAAACATTTCATTAAGGATATCAGATCTCTGGAGCTCATGATGTGAGGTRCAAATCCTGTTGGCTCCAGCCGAATTTGTCGGTGCAGAGCACCTGCTCCAATTAAATCTCTGTTGACTAGTCTTCTCCATTTCTTTCTTTGTGACCTGGAATGTGCTGTGTGTGATGTTCAATCAGAAAAAAAAAGTGCATTTTTTTTTTCTCAGAGGGAATAGCATTTGGCAATGAGCTGGCAACAAGAAACCTTTGTTGCCAGAAATCATGTTTTCTGTGGGAGTGGCTCAGATGGCACCGAGTTAAATACTTTTTACTTTTAAGTCTCCAAGTTATGTTCATTTTTATTGATGGTGAGTAGCTAACCTCACCTCCAGGGCAATCAACCATACTACCTTTAAAGACAGAAAAATGGATTTCTCTAAATTGTCCTTTAATTTTGTTTTTACAAAGACATCTGCCTATATCTGCAATAATCCTTCTTTAGCTTAGTTTCTGTTCCTTAGAATTAAGGCTTTATAGCTGAAAACAAGTATGTGCCTTTCCATATGTATAACTTTTGAATCCCTTAGTCAAACTATGTAGGGAATAGAGTCATAGGATAACAGGTAAAAAGATATCAAACGCCTAGAGATTTAACAACTGCAGCTAGCCAGAAAAAAGGGACTCCTATTAATGCTCAAGTAAGGAAATGGCATAAATGGTCACTCTCCTTTTTTTTTTTTTTTTTTTGCCTGAGACCACAGTCAACACATGTAGCTCGATATCAGGCCAAAATATACGTGCATGAGGAATACCATGATTACAGGGGAAATTGGTTCATATTGGGAGATGTAATTGGGGGATCTGTAGATTCATCACTTGTGTTGTTCATGAAACAGGTCATTGACCTTATGCATATTAGCTCCTAAATCTCCACCCATTCTTTGATCACTAGAAGAACAATAGGCAGAATATCAACCTAATGAATCACTTAACTCTGTCATCCACATTTTCCTTATTTGGACAGCCGTTTTTTGCTCAGGTATGCTGAGCACCCGTAAGTAGCTTGGCATAAAGCTCTCAGACACTCAGAAAGGTGTCTCAAAAGACATACCGGAGCCTTCCTCCAATGTTCATCAACTGAGCATTTTAAGTCTAAAGAATTTAGATGTAGGCCTTGGGACTCAACTCACTTAGAATTCTTTACTCTCTAAAGATGAGATATTCAAATTATTTTGACCAAATTAGGGTAATTAGATTCCTTCATCTTCCCCCTGCAGCATCTCTATTATACCAGTCTAATGAGTATACTATTCARCCATGTCAGGGATCTTTGTTAATTTAGTGGGAATAAAGAATTAATCATCAGTATCTCTTCTAAGAAGCTTGTGTTTACCATCAACATGCCCAGTAGATGTGCAGATGTTAGCTTGATGTGAAATTATAGTTACACATCATCTTGCACTTGGCCAGTTCATTCACCTATGTCTTTATAGGCCTTTGGAATTGCATTTGGCACCATGTTAGAGATTTCAAGATGTGCTGTTGTTTGTTTACTGAATGTGGTTGGGATATCATACCAAAGTGAGAGAAACACTTTGCTTCATGCTACAATTTCCGTGTGCTTCTGTAGCTTTGAGGTGATCTTTAGGCAAAATTATTCTTTGCTGTAGCGTGAAAATGCACCTCATTGAAATATTTGGGAGAAAATCCTGTGGCAAGAGAGGCAGCATTGTCAGAGAGCTCTCCCAGTTGAAGTACTGGGTAAGCTTGTAACTTTTCTACTGCATCTTTACCTTTTGATTTACCTAGCAGCCATGAAAGCTTTAAAAACAGCAGTTTTTGCTGGGATGTCATTTTTGGTTGGTCACAGCACAAAATTTGCAGAAGTCAAAGGACTACTTGATTTTCATTTTTTTTTTTTTGCCATTTTTTCTTACATCTCATACCCACAGAGTGGGAAGACATAGGCAAATGCCAAATCAGACAAAGCAGTTTCAGTAAATGTGTGTGTGTGTGCATGTGTGTGTGTCTGAATTTGTTATACTGTCTATATATAYATACACAGACACACACACGCACAGAGGAACTGCATGCTTCATGCTCATCTTTGGGAAACTGTATACCTAAGTAATATCGTGGACTTTTTACTCAGTTCTTTTTCACTAACATGTATTTGAAAGGATTTTTGGAAGAGAAGCTCTGTTTTCTTTCAGTATACGTTTTTCTCCTGTTGATCTTTTAGTGACAGTATCTCCTCTGGATTCAAAATGGCAGGAGTTCCATGATGGGCTGAATCTAAGGAAATCTTGAAACTATTAGCAGTGTTTGATAGTGCTTTCAACACTGTTTTCAACTGAAAAAAATCAAATAAGATTATCTACACCATGGTTTGTGGAAAAAAAAAAGTAGTTTGCAACTGTTCTTTGTGTACAGTACCCCTTTGAGGGGAAAAGACACAGGCTAACCTAACCCCTGCCTCAGCTGCTCATCTGTAAATATTTGACCAAGAGAATATTATGAAATATAGACATGCTATATRGATGGTTTTTCCCCCCAAAAAGATAGTTTTGTTTATTCTATCCATGATTTATTCTGTAGTTATTTAGGATTATTGAAGCAGTATCTTGGAATAGCATCACCTAGAGGTATTCCATGAGATTAACAAAAAGGATAAGGCTGTAGAACCCCTCTTTAACRTGTCATCTGTGAAGTTACTGGCGATTGTGCCCCTAGTTATTATTTGGGCTTTAGACCAGCTTCTTCATGTGCACTAGAAASACCCAAACCTTGGCAGTCTTGGGTGATCCACCACACCTCTTACACTTGCCTTATGTGAGAGAAATCCACTAATGCCAGGAGGGTTACCATGAAGTGAAGTGAATGGGTCTGAGAGCTGATTCAGGCCGGAGATGTTAACAGCGGAGTTCAGCTACAAATAACATCAWTGAATTACTGATGCTGTGTGAGTTCTTGCACTTAAATCTTGCACATATTTTTTGGATCTTTTTCTACATCTATATTTTGGTTTCTTTTTCCCTATGTTCTTGTTTTGTTTTGAAAATTGAACAGCTTTTTTTTTTTTTTCTTTTTTTTTTTTGCAACTTCCCTATTGACCATTCCTTAATGACAGATTGTTAAGTTTATGTTAGGTCAATTTGTTCCTGGTGTAACCCCACTGGGCACAATGTGGTTACATTAGGAAGAGATGCGGGACATTTTTACTGTACTCAGTCAGACGGGTAGTTTGAGGTAGAGAGCCTTCCCACGCAGAGCATTTGCACAACGCTTTCCTGGAATTTTAGGGTGAAACACATCCGAGCCTGCTATGCTCCAGGCATTCCTTCACTGAGACAGAGCCCTGCTTGCTTGATCGCATTATCTGGATTAGATCAGCAGTGACAGTCCTCCAGCTGGATCACCGAATCTGCTTGATCTTCTGCTTGTTGACCATCATCGAAGACATGTGCTACACAGACCTTTGCTTCACCCAGATGAACTATTTTTACTTGTTTTTTAATGCCTCGATACGTTTTTGAGCAGAGTATTTGTGAGTGTGCTGGGAAAACTGATTTGGAGGTGTGTGAAAAGGAATCTGACGAATGATTCTGAAGCACAGCTTCTGCCAATAATTGGTGGTGACACTGCTTGATCAGCCTTCATTTGACCTGCTAGGCCAAATGCGAGTAAATGGATTACTTCCTAGCAGTGTCACTCAAGCTTCCTTTTACCTTTCATTGCTACCCTTGGGTCAGATTGGGTTGCACAGCCAAGTGTTCTGCTTTTGTTCTTAATGGGTAGGATGCTCAGGGCAGCTTAGAAATCAAGGGGCTCATCCTCTTCTCTCTYCATGGTGTATTCAGTTGGTGGTTTTGGAGAAGCCTAATTTGGAAGATCCCTAGGGGTTTTGCTTGTTTACAGTAGGAGGCCACATGGGAACAAACCAATTGCTGGTTATCAGTTGCTGAAATCAGGGCTGATCCCCCAACATAAACAAGGATGTAGGCTCTTGAACCTCCCAGGAAGCCTGCTATTTCTTTAATATGTTATTAATCCATAGTTTGAAAGGTGTCATTGATTTATAATATTTTTTCTTTACACCAATCCCAACCTCTGGGCAGGCACACTCTGGGGAATTTATTTTCTATTTAGTTCTCTTCCTGAATGTTTTAAACACATTTCTTCATTACAAATAATCTTGTAAGGGGAATTTCAGCTTCCTTGTTCCTCCTCAAATCAAATCCCACCTTTATCCTTTCGTAAACAGATGCCCAAATGAAATATAGACAAAGTTCTGGGGAAAAGTTTGGAGTGAGATACAACTASGGGAACTATGTGTCCAAAATTTCTTAAACAGTAAAAAAGTTTTAACAGTGAGGGTGACAGAGCACTGCAACAGGCTGCCAAAAGAGGTTATGGAATCTCCTTCTCTGGAGWTCTTCAAAACCCACTTGGACGCAGCCCTGTGCCACGTGCTCTGGGTGACCCTGTGTGTGCAGGCAGGTTGGACTAGATGATCTCTAAAGGTCCCTTCCCACCTTAAGCATTCTGTAATTCAAAAAAAAAAAAAAAACAAAAAAAAACCCCATGAATCTAGAACAGACACTACACTCTTACTATGTTTCAATTTTCTTAATGTAAAACACACTATGTGAGAGAAACACAATGGAAATGACAAGTGATGAGGTGTTTATTTCTCCTGATTTATTTATTTACTTGCATAGTCTTGTGGGGATATATCATGGTGATAAATCAACCAAAACTTCCTCAGCTATCTTCCTTGGTCAGTATCCAGTGCATTCTGCTGTAACAAAATTTCCTTGTTGTCATGGGTAAAGTTGGTGTTTTTTTCTTTTTTTTTTTTAATTTGTTTTGTTTTTCTCTACACTATGGGTAGTTGAAAAACAGCATATCTTACTACCTTTCAGTGTTTTTGGTTAAAAGTCCATGGATCCTATATGTCAGAACTCTAGTCTTGCTAAAGAGTGTAGTTGGATTTCTTCAAATCGGTTTTTGTAAGAGAGAGCCACTTACCCTTTCTGTAAGCTATGCCTAATGGAGTATCATTTTAACTTACATAACGCCTGAAATCACACAGTTTRTACTGGGCTTCATACTTCATTTCCTAGAATCCTCTTCTGTTTTCTTCCTAGTGATTTTGTTTGTTACTTGTTTAGTTAGGCTTCAGAACTGTGAAA